CTAGCACAATACCTATCCCTGCCCCTCTTGCGTTCGAGGATCCATCAACATGAAGATCCCAAACGTCCCCTGTTAGATCCTGTGACGTTGGTGGGGGCTCAGACGCAGAGAACTCGGTGACAAAGTTCGTAAGAACTTGTCCTTTTATTGACATCCGAGGCTTGTACCTAATTTCAAACTCTTTGAGCTCCACAACCCATTTGGCAATCCTCCCAGACATATCGGCTCGGTGAAAGATCGACTTGAGAGGTTGGTCTGTAAGGACGTCTATGGTGTGAGCTTGGAAGTAGTGTCGACGTTTTCTCGCCGAAACTACCAATGCCAAAACCAATTTCTCCATTGGAGAGTACCTTGTCTCGGTGTCAAGCAAGGTCTTGCTTATGAAATACATGGGTCTCTGGGCCCCTTCGCTATTCCTGACCAATGCTCCACTCACGGCGTCTTGAGACACGAACAAGTAAAGGCTTAGCACCTCCCCTGCCGTTGGAACAGATAAAGTCGGAGGATGTTTCAAGTACTCTTTGATTCCTTCAAGAGCTCGACCGCATTCCTCATCCCAAACCCCTTTAGCTGCTCCCCTCAACTTGGCAAAAAATGGTTTGCACTTATCAGACGACTTGGAAATAAATTTGTTAAGGGCTGCCAACATTTCAGCCAATTTCTGAACATCCTTAATGGTCTCATGCGCCCAGACATTCTGGATTGCTTGTATCTGATCGGGGTTCGCCTCGATCCCCCGATAAGTAACCAAATACCCCAAAAACTTTCTTGAGCTTACTCCAAAGTCGCATTTCGAGGGGTTTAGTTTTAGCTCATACTTCCGGAGAATGGCAAATGTCATGCTGAGATCACGGAGATGGTCGGCCTTTTCTTTGCTTTTGACCAACATGTCATCAATGTACACCTCCATCGTTTCGCCGAGCTGGTCTTTGAAAATTTTGTTCATCAACCGTTGGTAAGTCGCCCCAGCGTTCTTCAACCCAAAAGGCATTATTGTGTAACAGTAGATCCCCCGGGGCGTGATGAATGTCGTTTTCTCTTGATCTGATTCATGCAGGGGAATCTGGCGATATCCAGCCCGAGCATCCATGAAGGTGATGCGCCTGTGGCCGACTGTGGCATCTACGAACTGATCAACCTTGGGCAAGGGGTACTCGTCCTTGGGGCAAGCCTTGTTCAGGTCCGTGAAATCCATGCAAACTCGCCATTTCCTTTCCTTCTTCTTGGCGCATACGGTATTGGATAGCTACTGGGGGAACTGTACCTCTTTGATGGAACCTGCCCCCAACAACTTATCCACCTATTCATCAACAACCTTCGTGTGATAAGGCGCTGTTCTCCAGGCCTTTTGCCTAACGGGTTTGAATAAGGAATTCACATGGAGCCGATGAGTCATCACCTTGACGCTCATCCCCGTCAACTCGGCCTGGGTCCACACAAAGACATCGGCATTGTGGTGTAAAAATGAGGCCATATCATTTCTCTCAGCGTCGTTAAATGACTCCCCTATCAAAAAGTACTTCTCATCGCTATCTAGGCTCAGGAGAAGCTTCACCAAGGCCTCAATAGACCGGTCAGCCAGCTCTGTAATGGGCTCGTCAACTCCCAGATGACTGTTATGTGATTGCTATTTGGCAACTACCGCATCGGGATCACACTCCTGGATCTGGCCGCTGATTCCAATTTTCACCGCGGCACAGAAACAACTTTTCGTCAATGCCTGATCACCTCGGATCTCCATTATGTCCTGCAGTGTTGAGAATCTTATCTTCTGGTGATGGGATGAGTGGATCGCCTTTATCGCATGCAACCATGACCTCCCCATAATAGCGTTGTAACGGGAGTCGGAGTCCACTACCACAAATTTCACTGGCGTGGTCATCACCCCGCTCGTACCATGAGAGTGATTTTTCCAAGGGGCATGGCACTGGAACCGTTGAATCTGATGAGGGGGGTTTTTACAGGTTTCAGATCCCTCTGAGAGAGTCATATCTTGCGAAAGAGGTGATCGTACATTACCTCAGAGGAACTGCCTGAGTCTACCAAGATCCTCTTAACGTCGAACTTCCCGACCCACAAAGTGATCACCAATGCATCCTCATGGGGGAGGGCTACCCTGCCAAGGTTAGCATCAAACAATTGGATTACCTCGGCACCACTCCGAGGCCTCTTGGGCGGCCGCTCATCACCCCTTTCGTCCACCCTGACTGCTTAAGAGACCCTTTGCAACTTGGCGCGAAGAGAGTTGTATGTAGGCCTCTCCACTGTGCAGGCATAGATAACATCAATCACGGGTGCTACCTCAGCTAGCACCTCGGCTCGCCCCTTCGCCGACCCGACGGGACGACCTCTGTCGATGAATTCCCTGAGGTGTCTGTCTCGCACCAATTGTTCGAGGAAGGATTTATAAGTCATGCAATCCTCCGTCAAATGACTGATATCTTTATGATATGAACATCAGAAGGTCGCATTCCTTGTCGACAGGTGTCCAAACATCCTCGAGGGTCACCTAAAGTAGGGTCTGTTTTTGATTTTGGGAAGTATCCTATGGATGGGCTCGTTGAAGACCGTGTTCACTCCCTGAAAGGATTGGAGAGTTGGGGGTGGAATAGGCCTTCCCTTGTGGGCCGGCTGCTCCCTCTCCCTTTTCCTCGGCACCGTGACCCTACTCTCGGGCACGACGAATTCTTCTTCCACCCAAGCATATTTTTTAATCCGAGCCATCAAGTCTTTCATGTCCGCCGGAGCCTTCTTGGTTAGCGATTTGTACAAATCAGTATCCCGGGACAGCCCTAGCCGAAATGACACCGTGGCCAATGCCTCCGAACAAGCCTTCACCTCGTTCATTGCATCCCAATACCGGACGACATATTGTCGGAGTGTCTTTCCCCCTTTTTGCCTAAGCGTCAACAGAGCGTCGATGTCCTTAGGTTTCTTACTACTGGTGATGAAGCGAGCTATGAAGAGCTCCGTCAATTGTTTCCAGGACCTAACGCTCTCAAGAGCGAGGTTCTCATACCACCTCATGCCTGTGTCCCCTAGGCTCATGGGAAAAATTCAGCATAACACCCTTTGGTCAGTATCATAGATTGACATCAGTTGTCGGTATTGCTGAAGGTGGCTCTCGGGATCGATTTTCCCATCATACACTTTGAACTGCGGGATGGTAAACTTTTTCGGCATCTCAGCCTCCCTGATAGCCTGGATGAACAACGCGATGACTTCGTCGGAGTAAACCTTGGGCTCATGGTTGTGCTGAGCAATGACAGGGACCCTGGGATCCTGTCTGATCTTTCTCGAGGCCTTCGAGGTATAGATTCCGCTTGTGATTCCATGGCTCCGACGCCTTCTGGTATCCCTTGGCGCAGGTCCCACCTGGACAGATTTTCCTTTTGGCCTGATTTCGACTTTCCCTTGGAGGCTGAGAACCCTCCGTGGCGGTGACGTCCCTCGGGCGAGTGCCTAATCCAACCTTTCCTAGAAGGCTAGTGCCAGGGGAGCCTGGACAGGTTCTGGTTAGGCACCTGGTCCCCGATCCCCTGACTATGCTCACCCGCGCTCGCTGACTGCTTGAAATTATCAAGACGCTGCTGGACTTTGGCGTTTTTCCTTTCGAGCTGCTTAATGCGTTTGTCTATCCATTTTTTCACCATCTCAACGATGTCATGGGCCATGAGGTCACGCCCCCCAAGGCCTTGATCCATAGGGAGCGTTCTTTGTGAAGAATGCCCCACCCCCATCTAATTGGCCCAATGAACCCGGCTCCCAAACTATTGGAAGCCGAATGGGCTATGCGTTCGTGGCCCGTACACCAGCTCCCTCACCCTGAGATTGAGTGTTCACCATTAGATGATCGCTACCGGGAAAAATGCCTTCGATCTCACAGATGGCGCCAAATTGCACGGGATAGCGATCTCCACGCTGATGAACTTGAAACAACAGGGTCAAAAAAAAGGGGTCAAGCGTGTGCTCGGCTAATCCCCTCCGAAGCTTAAGTCAGTATAAGATCGAAGGATTTTGCTTAATGGACTATTTTCTAGTTCAAGTTTGCGTACTTTTGTCCATTTTTGTGAGGAGTATTTATATATGAATTAACAATGATTGTCAAAGATCTCAAGTCTCATCTGGACATCTTACATCTGACACATCATTCCTTGTGCAATGAGTGTTTTTTACTCACGTCTCCTTTTATTGAATGCTAGGAAAACAGGATACATGCTCGGTCAAATGCCGAGCATTTATGCCACTCCCCGAGTACCCAAATCCCCAGATCGACATCTGACATCGACTGAGCATTGAATACTCGGGGGAAACAGTTCCTTGGGAGAGCTGATCGCGTCATCTCGACGCATCAGCCATTAATTCTTAGCCATCATGACAGTAGGCTTAAACTCCCAGAGGGCAGGTGCTGGCAGACGCGTATTTATTTGTCTTGTCACTATCACTCATTTCGCCATAAATGTAGAGTTACATCGCATTAAATACGATGTCAACTGTAGTACTCGACGGCTCCTGGTCATCACACATCGACTTACCTCCTCGGAACCCTTTGGGCATTCCAACGGCTTCATTATTCCACGTGTCAACCTAGGGGCTACAGAGCCAACTAGAGTCTCGCCAACTTCCATGAACAATGTTTAATTTTCCTCCTTCGTGCTTTTCAAAGCGCCGGAAGATATTTTCATTCTTTTGAAAAAATCTGGCTGATTTGAAAATATATCTCCAAACTGTCATCTTGGAGTGTGTGGTGGGGTGTCCCAAAAGTCATCCTTGAATCTAATTCACAAAAAAAAAAAAAAAAGTGATCGACTTTTGGAAGATTTTTCTGATAAGGCACTTAAGGTTCACTCCATGACAATGGCCAATCATTGTCATTCATGTCTTCCCTGCACATGGGCCACATTGTCATTCATGTCTTAGAATTGAGAGAGTCAATTAGCAGCATCTAATAAATTCGGGTGAAAATATTTTGTTCCTATTTACATATATCTTTTTCAAGCGTTTTGTTTTATTAATTTTCTAATCTTGAACCAACAGTCTTTGCTACAGAAGAGCCACATTTTTCTGAGAACTGGGAGGCAAAGGCACTCAAGGTTTACCCTCTTATGGTTTGGGCCTATAGCACTTCACCCGCTCATGGTATGAAACTGAGCACCATAACCACCATATGTTGTTTTTTGAATTAATCAGCTACCAGTCAAAGCATTAAAGCAGACCACTAAAGAAGATGTTTTTCCAACACCATCACCTGATTTTTGGAGTAACATTTTGTATAGAAAATGATCCTCAAGAGCTTGTGGCCTGAGTTACAGCAGTATACGTGAAAATAAACTACAAAACAGTCCAGATATCATTATATGCTTAACAACCACCAAGAAGGTAATTCTTCTGTAACAACACAGAATTTTCCAACCCATATCCGCCAATGCATTATGATTAAAATGTAAGCTAATGACGAGTAGCTGACTTATGTAGTCCACAACCTTGTGGATCAAAAATTATCTAGGCTAGATCAAAAAATTCATATGTTGCAAGGCAAGTTAAATCGAATTACACAGGTATGTACATAGAAGAAATAACAAAAATTGAAAGTAATTATCATAATTTCTCTTTTATCGGCCTTCAGCAATTGTGATAGTGAGACCATTGAGAGAACGTTGTTTTTGACTTTCATGAGAAGACTGTCTCCCTGGAGAAATACTTCTTTCAGTAAATGCAGGTTGTTTTGGGGAAGGGAGATCTGCAATTTCACTACTAAGCATTGATAGAACAGTCGAAACATCTGGCCTATCTTTTGCAAATTCTTGCACGCATAATAGTCCTACATGTATATATCTCAATATCTCCATTTTGAAGTGTGGATCAGATATCATTGGATCCACAAGAGCACCAACCTTATCTTCATTCCACAATTTCCATACCTGAGCACATTAAGATGAGAATCTAGTGTTGGATTTGGAACATTCAATATCAACCAGAAAGGTAAGGCCTATAAAGATTTGTCTTAGTAAATAATATGAACTTACAAATCTTAGAAGGCTAAGAGAGTGCTCATCATCATAAAAGCTGGTGTTCCTTCTCCCCGATATAATCTCTAATATCAACACTCCGAAGCTGTAGACATCAGACTTTTCTGAGAATCTTCCGACCATTGCATATTCAGGGGCCATATATCCGCTATGTATATCAATTTACCAGAGAAAGTAAAAGAATTGTAATGAAGTTGAATTATTGCATGAGAAGAAAGTTCATCACATGGAGAAAGATTCATATACATACTATGTTCCGACAACCCTTCGAGTATTAGCTTGATCTTGGTTGCCACCAAAAATCCTTGCCATGCCAAAATCTGAAATTTTTGGGTTTAGCTCTTCATCCAACAAAATATTACTCGGTTTTAAGTCTCTATGAATAATTCTTAATCTGGAATCTCTATGAAGGTAAAGCAGGCCACGACCAATCCCTTTGATGATGTTCATGCGTTTACCCCAGTCTAGGAGTTCTTGTTTCAACGAATCTGAGACATTTGTTTTTGAAAGGACAAGTATGAAAAGTTTGTAAGCTGTAAGGAAACTGATGTTGAGAAGACTGTCATCTTCTTAATGCAAGGAAGTCAATAGTAAATTAGAAGCACTGACTTAACGACTATAGGTGATTATAACTGACCGAAAAGAAATGCATCCAAACTTCCATTTGGCATGTATTCATAGATCAACATCTTTTCTTCTCCTTCTATGCAGCAGCCAAGGAGCCGAACAAGATTGCGATGCTGAAGTTTAGAAATCACCTCAACTTCATTCATACACTCTTTTAACCCTTGTCCAGAGGATCTTGAGAGCCTTTTCACAGCTATTTCTTGTCCATTCGGAAGTTTTCCCTGAAAAAAAGCATCAAATCAGTTGCATATGGTTCAGTATCCCATGAAGCCCCAGATTAACAATCATTACCTTGTACACTGGACCAAAACCACCCTGCCCAAGCTTATTAGCACCATGAAAGTTGTCAGTTGCTTTTGCCAAATTCTCAAAACTAAATAATGGCATCTCTTCAAGTTTTATTAGGTGGGTATTATCTCGAAGCATGCTTTCAGTAGGATCATCTGGATGTGCTTCAGGTTTTTGCTTCCTTCCTGTTGCAGGAACCTAACTATATGTAATTTTGTCCAAGAATCAGTATTTGCAAGTACTTCTGAGCTAACTCCGAGTAACATACTACCTCTTAGCTTGGCTATCCACCTCCAAGAAATGTAGGTGCAGATGGCAATGGCAGCCGACCCAATGCTAATGATAACTGCTAGTTTTACTTTGATGTTTTTTGCTTCATCTGTAAAACAAAACAAATTCAAGGGTTCATCTAAATTGGACAAAAGAAAAGAAGTTGAATTTAGCTGAATTCAAGCTTTTGAGCTTCAAGTTACATATCTGGAGTAGTTTATTGAACAGATTTAGGGCTAAAGTTCAAGAAATATGCTGCAACTCAAATCAATTGCATAACTCGTCAGGGTAGCTCAAATGGGATGATTACGGGAGCTATTATTTAGGAGGTCCCAAACGTAACTCTAACATTAGAGGCCTGGTTTCCCCAATACGCATGATTGGGGATTGAGTGAATGCATCTGAAGTTTATATCGGAAATACGAGTCCACGGGACACGTGGCTGGGACGGTAGTCAGTTGTCAAAAAAACACAGTTCCACATATTCATTAAACACAGAAAAAGAGGATAAGTATAGGAGCATCATTCACTACAAGATGATAGAGAAGACAAAATGTATTACCAAGCTCTGAATATGCCACTCGAATGTAAAGATCCACCCCACCTCTGGGGAGTTTCTGAATGTCCAGTAGACTTCCACTCCATTGCATACATCCAATGCCTGTGTAATATGAATAAGCTATACATGAACAAATATTCAAGCATAGGCTTCCACAATCGTCTTCCGTAGCAGATGGCAATTCCGCTAAGTCCGGCACTTTCATGGCCTGAAGCTTCAAAAATCCATCCTCTTTGCCCACTTCATTGACAGTTTTGTTTCGTTCACATTGCAATGTTGTCTTTCTTATGCATCCACTAGACCAATTTCCTTGACTCCATTCATCCATATGTTTTGGCCCAAATCCCCTTAAACAGGTACAAATTGGTGACTCCAGTGAATTACAGCTTCCAAATGGTCCACACTTGCCATAAACATCACACTCATGTTCTATAGCCGACCATGCCACTTCCCACTCTTCCTTTCCACTAAACAACCAATTCTTCTGCTGTAGATCTCCTTCAGAATTCAAGAGCAGGTATAATAAATAGGACGGATCAGTTGGATAGGTATAAGCTAGAGAAACGGTTCCTTCTTTGTCATCTACAAGAGTAAATCCCGTGAGATATGAAGAAGCCATCGTTGGAACTCCAATAAAAATCTGACCATCCCAAGGACCACTACGCCAATATGGATGGCCACCATTCCAAACAAAAAGTTGTGGGATGTTCAAAGGCTTGACCCCAACGGAGAAGCTTCCAATCGATGGATCCGAAGGACTTTTCCATGATGTTAGCCGAGTACTCTCTCCTGTCTTTGCATCAGTACCAATTCTCATCTTCTGCAAGAATGAGTCTGAAGGCTGTTGAAAACTTTCCCATATGATCCGTCCACCGGAATTGTCTCGCAAGACTAGGTTCCCGGTATCCAAAAGCTGTGCACTTGAATTTGCCACAGGATTTGAAACATTTGATGACCAAATGATCTCTTTCTGTCCCTTCAAAATTACAAGATTACCATCCTCCGATATTGTCACAATACCGGAAGAATCATTTAGTGGCTTGCTTCTATTAGCTACCCAAACCGGAGTCAGTACAGAGACGTTGCACAAGATACCAACATAACGATTTGTAGAGTTCACAGGAGTAAAGAATCCCAGCTTGAAGATCTGGCCAATGGAGACGATAGTTTCAGAGTCTTTTATGGATTGTGTGGATGTAATGGTGTCTGTGGAAGTGCAAAACTCTGAACAAAAAAATACGAGTATGAGAACAATGGCCTGAAAAGGTATAACCTTTGCATTGTCTGGATGTCCCATATGTCATTGACTGCTACTTCCTGGTGAGGATAGAAGGTAGTCTGTGCTGCCTATAGACTTCCATGAACAAATGCTCAATTTCTTCCCTTCAACCTTATCCTTTTCCACGCGAAATCAGATATTTCCTGGAAGAAGCAAGTAGGTCGAGATTTCATTCTCTCGATTTTCTGAGGGTAAGTTGAACTTTCTTTACTGAAAAAAATCTTTCCAGAAGCAGTCAGGTTTGACCATCCCTAATTTAAATTTGAGTTAAATTGATTTAAAAAAATCCTCCTACTTTTAACTAATATTTATATTAAATTAACACAAAATAACTCAAACTTTTATTAAATTAAGACAAAATTTATCCTGGACCAAAATTAAAACAGTATCAAATTCGATAGCAAATTTCTAATGATAACTATTTAACCTTTCTAAAACTAAAAAACTCTAAAAGGCTTGTGTATAAGTTTTTTTATTTTTATCTTCCATCTTTTTGATTTTTTGTATTTTTCAAAATCTTAATCTCAACCATCTTTCGTACTATATAAACCCTAAGCCTATCAATCAAATTTTTTTTCGATTTTTTCGAGTTAAACATTATCGGTAATACAATTTTGGACTACCGATTCTTTATAAAATTATAAGTCTTCACTACCCACAAATTTAAAAAATTTATCATTTTATTTCTTTAATGTTTTATTTTTGTTAAAATCGTATGTTTTTATGTTCTTGAAACCAGACCCATGTCAAAATAGTTATAATTTTTTTTTTTCTTTTTCTTTATTTGAATTTATAAAAAATGATAACGAATTAGAACAATCTTAGAATTATGGGGCGGTTTCTTTATTCCCATATAGTGTTGTAGATATATTCATTTTTTTAAAATTATGTATTTGCGGAGGGATAAGAAAGTTTCATTTATTTTATCAAATATCATGATTTGAATTACACAAAAAAAAAAAAAGAGTTATTGAACAATAAGAGAATTTTTTTAAAATTTTGAATAAATATTGAGTTTGTCTATTGGAATATTTTATACCAAATCAAATTTTTTATTCAAATTTAAGTCATGATTAGAAATATTATTATAAATGAGATGTTAATATATTGTAAAAATTTCTACCTTTATGAACCATCAACTTTACTATATTTGCTAAGTATTCCAAAATATGACGGAATGTAAAATATATCGAAACGCATCGAAATCTAAGAATTGCGATATTCAAATACTAATTCATTTTAATTTTTATAAAAACGAAAACATTTCAACCGTTCGGGCTATTTTGAAATGAACTTCACTTCCTTGACAATGAGGTGTTCAAACCCGTATGCATTTTTGTTGTAGAAGATTTGAAGTCATACAGACATTAAACAATTCCTCTCCTTTTCTTTTTCTTCTTAAACGGCCATTTTTTTGTGGCACTGCATTCTTCTTAAGTCAAAGATTGCAACGCCCTCATCTGACTGTTGCTCTGATAATGACTAAAGTTTTTCAAAAGATTCAAGCTGTATAGGGGAATTAAAATACGTAAGAAGGTAATTGGGTCCACTAAAATAACAAATTATTAAAATGCGGGTTCTGACACAATCAATAAAGGAATCAGCAATGAGAATCGGGAATGACTAAAGTTAGTCAAAAGAAATTGTTAATCGTAAATTGCGTTTGAAAAGATCGTTCGAATTTTAATTTTTATATTTAAAAATAAAAAATTTTAATTTATGCACTTAAAAATAAAAATTTGTATTAACGCGTACTCGAAGTTAGCAGCCGTAGTTTATCGTTTAAAACATAATGGATAAATTATATTTAAACTCTTTTATGTTTGTCACTTAATCTCCTTGATCTCTCAAATTTAAAATATTACACCTATATCCCTTAAAAGTCCAAATATGGCTAAAAATACTCTCCCAATTAGACATCTAAATAATTATGTTCAAGTAATGTATTGCATTACAAATAAAGAACATAATATAAATACCTGCATTATGTTAGACATCCACATGGTAAATTTCATTTTGAATTTTAGAATATAACGGACCCATAAAATAAAAGGTAGTATAAAAATTATAATTTTTTATTAGAATAGAATCATGTTTTTTAATGGTTATATTAACAGATATTAACGGCAAGGAATTATGTGTTACACATGCACAAATATCAGGAGGTGTAGAAGTAATATTCTAAATGTGAGGGGATCTAGATTATTAAGTGTTAAACTTGAGGGTATCTAGTTGTAACTTCCCCAACTAGTGTTAGACTACAAACTGAATGCTGTTAATTTCAAGTAACATTGATACAAATTTATATTTTTTAGGGTGTAAATTAAAATTTTTTATTTTCAAAAGTACAAATTAAGATTGAAGAGATCTTTCGGGATATAATTTGAGATTAACTTCAAAAGAAATGCATGACAAAATTGACATTATTTGTTAGATACAAATTAATAAACAAACTAGATATTAGTAAAAAAAAATTTGACACCAGCTAAATACCCAAACACGGACAGTCTCCCCCAAACACATCTGTAATAATAAAATGGAACCAAATTTGATTTTTCTTTTCACTTCAAAAATTAATTCAATTTTAATCTAATTGAAAAATAGAAAGGACGGTTCAGATTTAATCTACATTTCATTCAACGGCCCAAATTACATCTCAAATCTTCTAAGTTAATTCAAAGGTCCACAATAAATTTCACACAAATTGCTTCTCCCGCCCATTTTAACCCCCCACACACACACCAACCCTTAGCCCAAAATAACCCCCATTTTTGAATACACACTCTCTCTCTCATCTGCCTGTTAAACCAGCCCCTCACTAACTTCTCGTCGTCATGGCTAAACTACCAGCAGCGGTAGCAACAGCTTCCTCCCAAGTATACCCACACACACACACAACACATACACTCAAACCCACAACGCAACACACTCTCTCTCACGAGACGAGCACACTTAAACCCACAACACAACACCAAGCCCAGCAGCCCACATATCACACAACGCTAGCAAAACACACACACACACAGAGACCACAGCAACACACACACACACAACAACACACAACAGAACACAAATCACCCAACACACACAAACATGCAGCACAACAGCACACACAAACATATACACAAAACACACACACACACACTCAAACACACACACACACACACACACACACACAAATCTAGGTTTGGGTTATTGAATGTTTGTGTTTAATTTGTGTGTTTTTTTTTTTTTTTTTTTTTTTTTAATTTTGGTGTTTAATTTGAGAGTTTTTAATTTGGGTGTTTAATTTGGGTGAAATTTAGGTGTTTCTATAGTTATGATGAAATAGGTTTATTATGAAATTTCAATTTTTTTGTAATTTACGAATGCTAAGGTGGATGGAATATATGTTGAGTTGATTATTATTGAGTGTTTGTTTTGTAGGAGGTTTTTTTTTTGTTTTTGAGAAACATCGGTAAAATTATATTATTCAAGAATGTCAGCAAAAAGGAAAAACATAACAAAGTTTGGTGCCTGTTTCATCCAAACAACGCTACTATTTAGTGGTAAAACAAAATGAGCTAACTCATGAGCTACATTATTCCCATTGCGTCAAACTTCGAAAACTTCAAAAAATCGAAAACTCCTTGCTATATTGCTAATATCTTGGAAAATGGTTTTGAGAGGATCAAGATCTCTATCACCATTTCTTATAGAATTCATAACACTTATCGAATCCCCTTCCAAAATGACTTCTACTAATTCTTGCTGCCTTGCAAATTGTATTGCAATTTTCCCTGCAATAGATTCTGCTTGTTGAATATCACAACTCATAGCAATCCTCTTGGACAATGCCCCTACGAAGTACCCCCTATCATCACGTATGACTACCCCCCACTCCTAATACATTCTGATCTGCATATACAGCGACATCAAAATTTACTTTGAAGGTACCTGCTCTTGGAGGAAGCCACCCAATGTTGGGAATATGCTCGGCTAGAGGCTGAACTGCTGCCTCCCAAAATTGACTACAAAATTCAGCTGCCTTCATCTGCACTTCAATGGGATCTTGAATCAAATTTTCGAAGATTCTAGTATTTCTATTTCTCCACACAAACCAACACTGAATAAAGAACAATGAAAACTCATCAGATCGAAGGGCCTGATGAGCTTCACGCATCCACTGCCAGGGTCAGAGGACTTAAGTAGGCTAACTACCTTTAAAGAACTACAGCCCCATACTGCCTTGGCCCAAGTGCAATCCCTTAAACAATGTAATAATGACTTAGCTTCGTCTTGACACACTGCACACCTCCCATTCACCTCAATACTCCTTCTCTGAGGATTGTCACCAGTTGGTAATGCGTTAGAACAGACCCGCCAAGCAAAAATTTTAATTTTATTTGGAATTTTCTGATTCCAAATAAAATTCCAGTCCAGTTGTCCAATGCTAGATGAGGGAGGGGTCTGGCTCCTTTGCGGTAAGGGGGTTACCGCATGTCATGCGGTTTAATAATACGGCACCGTTTTTGGTACTTTTTGCAATTTTTTTTTTAACTACCCTTGCCAAAAACGACGTCGTTTTTGGCACCTTCAAATCTTCGACTCTGCACCGAAGCCTTCTCTCTCTCTCTCTCTCTCATGTGAATTCCGTCAGCAACTATGGAGGTCCTCAACCCCAAAATCCCTACCAGCCCTAATATTCTCTCTCGAATTCCAATATTCTTCTCCTAAATTTCCCTCCATGACATGGGATAAGAAAAACCCACCAAGAACCGGCATACCCAAATCCAAATTGCCTCTACAGTCACCATTTTCACTATATCTATGCCTCTCTAGTTCTAGAAAATTCCAAATTTCTGCTCATTTTGGCCGGCCCACAACCCATCGAAACTCTATGAAAAAAAGCTCAATGAACAACAACGAGAACAACAGCAGGTGTGTCACAATCCTCAAACTAACGACCCAAGTCCGTATTTTTGAAGCCCAGTTCATCATTTTGATGACATCAATAGTTTTCAATCAAATTCAACTAATCATAATGTACGGGAGAATAGCGCGAGTTTTGATAATGTGAAGAGATCAAAATCAAAGGTTTTGGGAGAGTCTGCTTTGTGGAATAAATTAGAGAGTTGGGTCCCACCCCCACCCCCACCCCAACTCCATCACCTACCCACACATTGATATCCCATTCGCTGCCGCCGCCGTTG